TTGAAGGATCTTATCGAAGTCCTGCGTAACCCTGAGCTCCCATACGGTGAATGGAACGCCCAGTTTGCTGCTCTTCACACCCGTATGCCCGGCAAGCTTGCTACTCAAGCCTCACAGGTCGTTGAACGTGCTCGTTCTCGTCAAGCCGAGTTCCCCGCCAAGCAACTTCAGAAAACCATTGTCAAGTTCATTGAGGACAATGTCAACCCCGGAGATGCCGACATTCTCAAGACTACCTTGTCTCCGCTTGTGCACATCATTGAGCTTTACATGGACGGTCTCAAAGTTCACGAATATAACGTATTCATCGATCTCCTCGAGCAATACTACTCCGTCGAAAGCCGTTTCACTGGACGGAACACTCGCGACGAAGAAGTTGTCCTCAAATTGCGTGATGAGAATAAGGAAGACATTCGCTCCGCAATCCAGATCGTACTTTCTCACACCAAGGTTGGCACCAAGAACAACCTTATCCTCGCCATTATGGATATATACCGCCCCAACCAGCCCAATGTTGGCAACGTAGGAAAATATTTCAAGCCTGTCCTCCGCAAGCTTGCAGAGTTGGAGTCTCGCGCTGCTTCCAAGGTTGCTCTTAAGGCCCGTGAGTTACTTATCCAGGCTGCTTTGCCTTCCCTTGAGGAGAGAGCTACCCAGATGGAGCACATTCTCCGCTCATCCGTGGTCGAATCCCGTTACGGGGAGGCTGGCTGGGATCACCGAGAGCCAGACTTTGAAGTCTTGAAGGAAGTTGTCGACTCTAAGTTCACGGTCTTCGACGTTCTTCCCCTGTTCTTCTCTCACTCTGACCAGTGGGTCACAATGGCCGCTTTGGAAGTCTATATTCGCCGTGCTTACCGTGCCTATACTCTGAAGGGTATCCAATACCACACTGATAGCGAACAACCTTTCATCTCTTGGGACTTCGCTTTGGGCAAGATGGGTCAAGCCGACTTTGGCCTTCCCATCGCTTCTTCCCACCCATCCACCCCGGGCACACCTACCGCTGACGGCCCTAATCCCTTCAAGAGAATTCATTCCATCAGTGACATGTCCTACCTGGTCAATGAGGATTCGAGCGAAGCTCCACGAAAGGGTGTCTGTATTCCTGTGCAATATCTTGAAGAAGTCGAAGAGCAACTTGTGCGCGCTCTTGATGTTTTCCCTCGCAGCTCCGGCAAAGCAAAGAAGTCTTTGGAGTCGAACCTTTTGACTGCCGAGCTCAGTGGTAAGCGCCGACCACCTCAACGTCAAGATAGCAACGGCGAACTTTCCGGAGTGTGCACCGTCGCCATTCGTGACGTTGAAGATCTTGACGATGCCGATCTTTTCCCCCAGTTCAACAAGATCATCGCCGCCCACAAGGAGGACCTTCTCTCTCGTGGTATCCGTCGTGTTACTTTCATCTGTGGACACAAGGATGGCAGCTACCCAGGCTACTTCACTTTCCGTGGACCCTTGTACGACGAGGACGAGAGTATCCGTCACAGCGAGCCTGCTTTGGCTTTCCAGCTTGAACTGGGCCGTTTGTCCAAGTTCAAGATCAAGCCTGTTTTCACTCAGAACCGTAATATCCACGTTTACGAGGCTATTGGAAAGGGCCCTGAAGTCGACCGCACTACTGTTGACAAGCGCTACTTCACACGTGCTGTCGTTCGTCCCGGCCGTCTCCGAGACGATATTCCTACTGTGGAATATCTTATATCTGAGGCTGACAGACTGATGAACGATATCCTCGACACTCTTGAGGTTATTGGAAACAACAACTCCGATCTCAATCATATCTTCATCAACTTTTCCCCAGTATTCCCTCTGCAACCCAAGGATGTTGAGGATGCCTTGGCAGGATTCGTGGACAGATTCGGCCTCCGCCTCTGGAGACTTCGTGTCACTGGAGCTGAAATCCGTATCCTGTGCACAGACCCTGCTACCGGCAAGCCTTATCCTCTGCGTGTCATCATCAACAACACCTTCGGTTTCGTCATTCAAGTTGAGTTGTACATTGAGAAGAAGTCCGAGAAGGGTGAATGGATCTTCCACAGCATTGGAGGCACAACTAAGGTTGGCTCCATGCACATGCGCGCCGTGTCCACACCTTATCCTACCAAGGAGTGGCTCCAGCCTAAGCGTTACAAGGCCCACGTCATGGGTACACAATACGTCTATGATTTCCCAGAACTGTTCCGTCAAGCATTCCAGAACAGCTGGACCAAGGCTCTTGAGAAGGTTCCAGGCTTGCTTGAGAAGCGTCCTCCTGTTGGCGAATGCATTGAATACAGCGAACTTGTCTTGGATGACACCGACAACCTTGTTGAAGTGTCTCGTGAGGCTGGTACTAACAGTCACGGTATGGTCGGTTGGATCGTCACAGCCTACACACCCGAGTACCCCAAGGGACGTCGTTTCATCATCATTGCCAATGATATCACTTACCAGATCGGTTCATTCGGTCCTCAAGAAGACAAGTTCTTCCACAAGTGTACCGAATTGGCAAGGAAGCTTGGCATTCCTCGCGTCTACTTGTCTGCCAACTCCGGTGCTCGCATTGGCATGGCTGACGAGTTGATTCCTTATCTAAACGTTGCCTGGAACGATCCTGCCAAGCCCGAGGCTGGCTTCAAGTACCTGTACTTGACTCCCGAGTTCAAGGCCAAGTTGGATGAGCGCAAGAAGAAGGAGGTTATTACTGAGCTTGTGACCGAAAATGGCGAAGAACGCTATAAGATCACTGCTGTCATCGGTGCTAAGGACGGACTCGGTGTTGAGTGTCTCCGTGGCTCAGGTCTGATTGCTGGTGAGACTTCTCGTGCTTACGAGGATATCTTCACCATCMCCCTCGTAACCTGCCGTTCCGTTGGTATTGGTGCCTACCTTGTCCGCCTCGGTCAACGTGCGATCCAGGTCGAGGGCCAGCCTATCATCCTCACTGGTGCTCCCGCTATCAACAAGTTGCTTGGACGCGAGGTCTACACTTCCAACTTGCAGCTCGGTGGTACCCAGATCATGTACAAGAATGGTGTGTCCCACATGACTGCCAACGATGACTTTGAGGGTATTCAGAAGATCGTCGACTGGTTGTCATTCGTTCCTGACAAGAAGGGTGCTCCTGTACCAATCCGCCCATTGTCCGACAACTGGGACCGCGACATCACCTTCGTCCCTCCTGCTCGTCAACCTTACGATGTCAGATGGTTGATTGGCGGAAAGCAGGAAGAAGATGGCTTCTTGACTGGTCTCTTCGACAAGGATTCTTTCGAGGAGTCTCTTGGCGGTTGGGCTAGAACCGTTGTTGTTGGTCGTGCCCGCCTTGGTGGTATTCCTATGGGTGTTATCGCTGTCGAGTCTCGCTCGGTCGATAACGTCACTCCCGCCGACCCTGCTAACCCCGACTCTATGGAGATGGTCACTACCGAGGCTGGTGGTGTTTGGTTCCCCAACTCTGCTTTCAAGACTGCCCAAGCTTTGCGTGACTTCAACAACGGTGAACAGCTTCCTGTGATGATCCTCGCCAACTGGCGTGGTTTCTCTGGTGGTCAGCGTGACATGTACAATGAAGTGCTCAAGTACGGGTCTTACATCGTTGATGCTCTTGTCAAGTACGAGCAGCCCATTTTCGTATATATCCCACCTTTCGGCGAGCTTCGTGGTGGTTCATGGGTAAGTTACAACACACTTAATGATATTATAACATTGCTAATCATGTTTAGGTCGTCATTGATCCCACGATCAATCCCGAACAAATGGAAATGTACGCTGACGAGGAGGCACGTGGTGGTGTCTTGGAGCCCGAGGGTATCGTCAACATCAAGTACCGTCGCGAGAAGCAGCTCGACACCATGGCCCGCTTGGACGCTACCTATGGCGAGCTTCGACGACAGCTTGAGGACAAGTCCCTCAGCAACGAGCAGTTGTCTGAGATTAAGGTCCAGATGGCTGCCCGCGAAGAACAACTTCTCCCCGTCTACATGCAAATTGCCTTGCAATTCGCCGATCTTCACGACCGTGCCGGACGTATGGAGGCCAAGGGTACCATCCGTAAGCCTCTGAAATGGCAGAACGCCCGTCGATTCTTCTACTGGCGTCTACGCCGTCGTTTGAGCGAAGAGTTGATCCTGAAGCGCATGATCGAGGCGCAACCCAAGCCTGCTCCCAAGACCTCCAAGAGCGGTGCTATCCCTGTCAGCGGCATTGTTGCTCCTACATCATCTGCTCGTGAGTCTCACCTCAGCACTCTTCTGTCTTGGAGCAACTTGCTGGACGATGAATTTGAACACAACGACCGCAAAGTTGCTCTCTGGTACGAAGAGAACAAGAAGGGCATCTACTCCAAGATTGAGGCCCTGAAGACCGAGACTATCGCATCCGACGTTGCTTCGCTGTTGATTGGTAACAAGGAAGGTGGTCTCAAGGGTGTTCAGCAAGTGTTGAGCATGTTGCCTGCTGAGGAGCGTGAGTCTGTCCTCAAGTATCTCGGATCGGTATAAATTGTTGTCTGTCGTTGAATCATAGCATTTTCATTTCGGTGCTCGTTGTTTTGCCTTTCACTATATAGGTGGTTTAGAAAGGGTGATTGAGGAATTTATGTTTTTCCTTTTCTTATTATATGATTTTACTACGTTTGATGTTTTGTTTTTTTCTTGTTTCTTTTTGTGGCATGATGATTTGATTTTTATGAATTAGTGTGCAATATGAATTTCCTTATTACTACTTCAATGACTTCTCCTTGCTATTAACAACACAGTAATTAATAAACATGGTTTTTTTTTTTTCAAAGATCGCTCGACGAAAACTCTGGAGTAAGTCTCAATGTCTGGTTAATTTAAGTAACCTACTCAAGCACATGCATACGAGCATATTGAAATCATAAAAATAGCAAATCAATTCAAGGTATATATGGTATCATAATAACATGTCAAAATAATTCCAGCGAGTAAGATAAAAACGAGCGATGAATAGCAAAAGACGACAACGAATAAAGGCAAGTGTAGCCTGGCAAGTTATCAAGCAGGTTGCCTCTCCATCCCCCCAGCCCGCGTCATCACCGGCGGCGGTCCAGCGCGATGATATGATGAACCCGGTCCTTCACCCAGATGATGGGTTCGCGCTCTATTGATTGAGGAACGCACACTTGCCGCGGACGCAGTTGAGTCTTCAAGCGGGTTCAGATTTATTCGTCCTAGTTCGATGGGTAGATTCAACTGGTTATGATGACGATGGTCGGCCATGATGGATATATCCCTGTACCCACCGCGTCGAGGCTGCTGTTGTTGGTCGTAAATTCGAGACATTGCTGCTGACGAGATGCTGTCGTCACCTTGAGAGCCGGGGAGTTCGACAGTGCAGGCGCCGAGGGTGCGAGAAATGTCTTCGAGAAGGACTTGCATGGGCGCTATGTATGCGGTTCGACTTCGCTCGGAGTACGCGAGGACATGGCCGCACACGCGGCCGCTGGAGGCTTCAAAGACCCATGCGCCGGAATCGCCGGGCACTACATATTCAAACACACAACGTCAGCAACTATTCGTCTTTTTTCCATTGTTCATAAAGGGAGAATATACCTCCAAAATTTCCATCAACACAGAAACTGGTGGAAAATGATTGGCGGCCATGGAGTTTTACGAGTGTCATTGCAGGTGATATTTTACCGTGCTGGTAGCCGCTTGTTCGGCCGCAGCATTGGACTTTGAGACCTCCCATCTCCTCGACGCGGGCTACTTTTGTTAGATAGATGGGCGATGTTCGGTTAGGTTGAAGGGTTTGGCGATGAGTTTGTTGAGGCTGTTGTGGAGGTCTGTCTGGGGTCGGTCTGGAAATGACGTTCCTGACGTCCATGCGACTGTCATTGAGTTGAATCAATGCCCAGTCAATCTCGTGTTTGATGCCTTTTCTCGTCCACCGACGCAAGCCCGATGATGCATGTATATAACCCAAACTGTGCGAGGCGAGATGTTCATCGTCCCGATCCTCCGGAGACGGGAAGAAATCTTCATGCACATCATCAATCGCAGGTTGAGTAACTAGCAATTGCGGATCATCATCTGGTTCTACGCCAGCCGTATCTCCGATCGATGCTGCGTCGTCCACGTCGTATGGATCGTAGAATTCTTCTTCATCGGATGATTCGTCGTCCGAGAGCCAGTAATCGCCGCCTTCTTGAGAGGCGGAATCATCGTCATCATCGTCGGTGAATTCAAGCTCGTAGTCGGTTTCGGGATCTCGGTCGCCCCATGTAGAAGTCAGGTCATTACCGGACGTTAAATTCATGTTTTCGGCTCGATTGGCAGAAGACCGCGGTAACGTCTCCTCAGCTTCGGCCTCGTCCTCGTCTTCATCTTCATCCTCACTAGGCGCTTCGAGCATATGATGAACGGTCATACCGTACGGCATTCCATCGATCAGAATAGCACCACCATACGAAACAGGCGGTAGGTGCTCTTCATTTTTAAACGCACCAATCGACGCCCCACACAGAGGTTTTTGCTGATAATGAGGGTTCAGATCTGGTTGCACAAAGGCAGCTTCATCGGTTTCAGGTGAGTTTGAAGAATGTGCTCTCCGTCGTCGCCGCCTAGGAACCTTTGATCTGCTGACGTCGCCGCGGAGGACAATCAAATCCCAGTCCTGCTCGACTTCAAAGTACTTTTTAAGAATGGCTCGAACTTTCTTCACATTCGAGCAAGTCACGCAGATAGTCGTCTTGGCGGTTTCCACGCTCTCACCAGTCATCATCAAAGAGGCCGTGCAGGACTCTGAAGAGTCTTTGAGTATTCTGTGTAGAAGCTTGCTGAGCTTTGGCATTGTGTAAAAGTTCCATTGGCTCAGATGCTCCTGCGGGATTTCGGCGTTTGTTAACTTCTTCACTGTTCGCTTCTTGACCTTCTTTTCTGTTGGGGAGTCGACTACCTCATGGACTGCTTTGCTATCCTGGAAGTCACCCCGAAAAGGTTGATGCAATGAAGTGTGTTCGATCGGTAGATTGGCAAAATTTGCTGAAGGCGCATTGTCGATCGATTCCGGCTCAGACTCAAGATCACGACCGAGAGCTAGTGGTAGACAGTCGTCAAGATCCGCAGAAGGAGGAGGAGAGTAAATATCAATAGCACACAACTGAGACAAAATCTTGCTCATTGTGAAGATGAAATTGGCAGAGAAGGCGAATTGGCTGTCAGGCTCTGCGAATTCCAGAGTCGGGTAGGTGAAAACCCTAGGAACTCTGAACCCTAGGTCCGCCATGGGTTCTGTCGACATCAAAAAGTTCGGAGCGTCAAGACAGAGTTGAACGATGTGCAGGTAGGCGTTGCCGCATTTCGAAGCCAGCTTCTTGATATAGACGTTTTCAATGCGTTGCTTGAACATGGCATTATTATACTTCATCTTCCAGAGACGGCTGATGGGTGCCCAAAGACCGATTTCCAAAAGAACAAGACCCAGAGAATACAGATCGTATGCCCATGCTACCTCATCTTCGAGCAGTCGCTTGTCGTCTGGATGGCGGTACATGCTTGCTGACAGAGGTTCGGGAGTTGGTTCATTGCCGGAAAACTGTGCAAGTGAAGTGAGGTAGGGATGTCGTAAATCTTCGATCAAGTTTCCAATCTCATCCTGACCGGAATTATTCAAGCCTGGAAAGACCAATATATTGCTGCTATTAATATTTCCATGAACGACATTTTGACTCCTCAGGTGCAGAACGGCCAAAAGTAGGTTATAAGCGAGACGGAATCGGCTTTCGAGAGTCGGCACCGGGATATCTTGATGATCTTCTCCAGAATGAAACAAAGAAACCAAAGTCTTTGGTCTCAATTCCTTAAGGAGATTGCTGGGATTGCTCAGGAATGGGAAATAGTCCACCGGCATTTGATAAACGAATGCATAACGAGCATTGGACATGTCGATGTAATAGCCAAGAAACCTTAACAGGCCCAAGTGTGACACCCGAGAGTTTTCCACCAACTGATCCAGAGAACGATGGATTTTCTCCAAGCGCTGGGCGGCGGGAATCGTCACCGAACTCTGAGACTCCAGCATCATGGGCGTGAACTCTACAAGGATGGGGATCGTCGATTCCTTGGTCAACCCAGTCATAAATGGAGTAGCAGAGGTCTGCACACGACCAATGATCCGGGAATTCGCGGATGCAGCAACCTGCTCATATGGTGGCGGGCTTTTCGCATGGGATGCGCCTGAAAGCTGTAACGTCGACCTGTCAATAAAGAGATGTTTTGTGGAAGAGAAAGAATCGTTGACTTTTCGTTCCACCAACGCCGGAACTTCCCTTCTCGCAATCGGTAGAGCATGGAAATTAGAATATGGCGATACATCAATCTTCTCCTGTTTGCTATAAGACGTCTTCCCCTTCATATCAACCGGGCTCTCGACGAAATCGTGCGAATACGACATCGGCTTCGAATCAAACGACAGTGATCGATGAGCATCCAATCCACCTGGCTTCAGGGACTTTGGAATCGAAGTCTGCGACCGCGCTTTGACCTTGCCGGACTGATCTGGTGCTGTTGAGGCCATACTCATAGTCATATTCCGGCGTGACTGCGATAATTCGTATAGTGTATCAATGCACGACGTCAAGTCATCCAACAAAGTATACGACCGTTTGATATCTGCCTCTGTCCAGTGAGATTTCATCATCAGATCCTCCTTTGGCGGTAACTCGCCACTATCATTCTTGGGCGGAAGTGCCGGAGCTTCCCCATGTTGTAACCTTTCCGCTTCATTGAGTATCTCCTGTATCGAGGACATGACACTCGCCACGACATCGCTGAACCCGGCTTCGGTCAACGACTCGTCGATATCGTTTGGTTGCGCGGCGTTGGAATCGCTCCAATCCAGGCCCCAGGCTAATAATCTATCCTTTTGTGTGCGATAATTCCGGTGCAGAGCCACGAGCTCCGGGTCATCGGTACCCTTGGACGATGCAGTTGTGACGCTTTCGCAGGACGTTTTTGTGTCGGTATACATCTTCGTGAGACGTCGTTGGAGGTAGGACCCTCCTTGCCGAAGGACGGACATTGTGGCGGTTGTATTCGACCGTGAGCGATTAAAATAGAAGAGACATGAATTCGTAAGATGTTCGGAAATTCCTCCTTTATATTGTCGTGAAGAAGTAGAAGGCAGCGAGTTGAAGGATAATAATGATGATGATGGCAAACGGCAGCCAGGCTACTGCTTAATCTATCGTGGAGTCTGGAGAGATCGATAATCTTGTTGCCTTATTGCCCAGCCAATAGCCGCCCGGCAATCCGGGGCTGACACATGCGCGCAATCAGCGTCGCGGTGGGTCACGGGGAGAAAGAGTGGATGGACTACGCGCCAATACGGTAAGGCGCGAAATACTAGCGCAGACTAAAATTGCATGCAAATTCTGTGTGGCGCAGATAGGGTTGCCTATCAGTATAGCGTGGCTGAGCATCCTTTAGGCAATGTCATTTTATACGCATGGATTAGGCAATAAAAAAGCGAGCCGGGAATCCGATCTAGCAGGTTACACTACATGAGTCACTAGTGGACGATCTACAGTCGCCACAATGTGATAGAAGCCTAGGAGCCAGGCTGGAAGCATGCCACTTTGTTAGATATAAGTCATAATATTCGCTATATTCTGCATACAGAAAAGGTGGGAAAAAAAAGAAAGAATACCAATAATGGCTAACTGAATCCTGAAATGCTCTATGATGTGCTTACACGGCGGTTGACGCCCGTGACCTCTCTAGCTCGTTTTTCGCCAAAATTGTGAAGTCGTTCCCCAATTAGATACACTTCGTCACGAATGTTGGCTCGCCAGACATCAATCTGTCTGCGGAGTCGATAGAGTGCATACATGACCAAGCATGCCGCGAGAGTGGTGGGGTATGAGTAGCGGTAGACTGTGGATTGTGTGACCGTAGTGGGTTCTGGGAACATTGTCGCCTTGGCAATCACACCGAAGCCTAATGGGAGCGACACAGCCAAGAACGTAAAGATCAAGGCCGGTATAACAAGTGCTCGGGTAGCGAGGGCTGTATTAGGCCGTAGCCAGCCGTCATTGACAATCGTTTGGAGCGCAACTGCAGCTCGTGAATTGGACCTCCATTGCAGGAACATGTAGGCCATTTGGACATAGAGAACACCAAGGGCCCAGTCTTGCACGAAGTGGATAACATGTGCCTGTTGGCCGTTTGTGTAGGTTTGTACCGGGACCAGGACATAGAGCTCCGTAAGTAAGGCGCAAAGAGATGGAATGAGAATCACAAACGCCGCTGATAGGTAGACTAGCCGCATAGCATGAAGTAAGAATTCTGTCACCTCGCGGATCACTTGCCCAGGGTTGGAGAGCATTGGCTGAAGTCCGGATTGTAGCTTCTGATATCCAGCTCGCAAATAGGCAACCGTGTATCCCACGCCCAATAACAAGGACATGCCGACTGAAAACGCATAAATATCGTTCATTCGTGCGACGTGTGGGAAAAAGTATGAGAGTACCCGGCGGCCTACGACCAATGGAAAGATGGTCACGCCAACTCCTGTGACGGCTGCAAAGACCCAGATCAAGAAGATGAAAATAAAGATTCGGAGTCGGAAATTAGGCGGAATATAGACTTGAGTGAACATCTCACTCTTCTTGCCATGTAGTCCCTCGTCACTGTCTATGTTGCCATCCGCACGTTCATTATCCTCGGACACATCAAGGAAAACTTTGGTACCCTTGGGAATTCGCACTTGATCGGAAGCCGGAGCACGAACGAATCTGCCATCACGGAGGAAGAGTGGGCCTTTGCTTCTTTTCTCCTCGGCTTCTTCGTCGTCATCACCAGTGATGGGATTTTCTACATCACCTAGGTTTCCGAATAGGATATCCCGCCATGAACGGTGAATGGGATGCCCCTCCTCGTCCTTGTTTCTCTCTCCAAGTAGAAATTGCGACAATCGCAAGTGCCGAGCACACTTGTGGAACCACCAATCGTACATACTATGCAGGCCATCTGAGGGTTTAATTGCTCGCAAGATGACAGGCATGACGAAGTTGTAGAATAGTAGGTCGACAGGAACCTCAAGAATTGGCGTATTTGATGACCAATGGATTGGAAGGACGTCGACAAAGGCGTAGGATAAGCCCCAAACCACGGCACCCAGGCAAATGACAACTAAACCACCGTAGACTAAAGCAGAAAATGCAATCTTTCGTAGTTGTGTGATGATGTCACGCTCAAGAACATCGCGCACTGGGTGGAAGTTTGGATCATCGGGATCACGTATGAAGTCTATGAATTGTCAGCATCAAGTCAAAAACGTCAAGGGGGATTTACTTACAAAGTACGCCGGTTCTCATGATCTTACGGCACATTGACACAAAAAGAGCAAAGTGGAACATGTAGCAAGTGCCTATGAACCAATGCACGAACAACGAGGTGAGTGGTGATGCGAATGTGAATGCAACCCTTGAAGCAAAAGTAGCTCTCTCAAACAATGGCATCAAAGCCAGATCCAAGAGCAGTCCAGAGTAAAGAGGAAAGACAAGCATTTCGATGCCAATGATAAGAATCACTTTCATAACACCGCCCGCCTGGTTCAGTATTTCAGCAACGACACCTTCGGGCCTTTGCTCCCGGTTCGCTCCACTGAAAAAGCCGGTCACCTTCAAGTAGAAAATTCCAAGAAGAGAAGCAAAGACATATCCGATCACAATGGCAATGATTCGGTCTTTTGTATCCCACCGTGCAAGATCGTAGTCAGGGCGGATGAGAAGTGCAGTCTCGTTGTCCAATTCGGATTTTCCAAGCGATGAGAAAACCGAATGTGCAAGACTGATTGATTCATTTTTGGCGCCTTGTAGAGTAGTAGTCATGTTGACGCTCGATACTGCGACAAGCAAGCCATTTCTGTAATCGGCCGAAAGAAGCTTCATGGGTATGTCATGCAAAACGAACTTCATTCCATCGAAGATGAAGTGGAATATAGTTGAAATGCGGGTCTCATGAATGCGTAATGCTTGGTGAGCAAGCACTGAGAACATAGGCAGGTCAGAATCCTGGAAGTCAAAAAATCCTCCTAGCACTCTCTTGAGCCTTTGGCTGCTACCGTCGATGAGGCTCAACGATGTTTGCGTGATGGAGGAGTTCTGTGAAATGCGATCTATGAATGGTACGAATCCCGCCACCGGACGTAGAAGGTTCCTCGTGATGAAGCTAACCAGATACAGGACGTATCCAACGCTGCCAATAAGAGAATCGACAATCACATCCGCTACAATAGAGAGCATTGCCAAAGGAACTTTGACCAAGAGTCGCACAGGACTTGTGAAGAAGACCAGAGCGATTTTCCCCCAAAGGTACGGTAGCCAAATGCCGACGGCTATGGTGAAGGATATCAAAAGAGCGCAGAATACACCATTCTGTAGAAGGCCGAATATTGGTCCTTGTATACCTATCAACTCCAAGATACCCTCAAAATCATCACCTTCTTCAACAGCATCGACGTCGTTGGGATCACGATTTTCGGGATCAGGAGCTGCCGGTTCTCGCCATGGGTTCGGAGCGGGCGCATCAGCCGCCGCATTTTGCCTGTTTGGTAATGGGACAAAGGGTTCCTCGAGCGCAGCGTCTACCACAATATGCTCAACATCCTCGACATGGGTGTCTGGCTCTTGAGGGGTTTCGAGATCTCCCCAAAACCAATCGAAAACACGGTTTGTAAACGTGCGGGGAGCAGCGACGGTAGTTTCCTGAAGTTGACGGTCACCACTTTCGGGAGCAGTAGGACCAGCAATCTCAGAAATAGGTTCGAAGGCTGGTTCCTGAACTGAAGGTGCCGGTGCAACCTCCGTAGCTGTGGTTCTTTCATAAGTTATCTCTCCCTCTCCGTCTGACCAATCGATCGTTTCACGGGGTAGCTCAAAATTGTCTGTTTGAGAAGGTCCGTTGTTCAAGGTTGCTGGAGGTGCCATAGATTCCAAAACTTCAAATGAAGACTCCGAACTAGCATTGTTGGGTAGTTCAGGAATCGGTCTGTTGCTGACAGATGATGAGCCTTCGTGAGATGCTTCCTGGTGACGGTCCAGGAAGTCATAATTGCCTGAAGATGTGCGACGAGTGGCATTGCCTCGCTTGAGAGTCGTCATAGCATTAACAACCCAACTGAGTTCGTCTTCTCGACCTTCCTCTTGAATAATGCGTAGTATTTCATCGGGATTTCCATCACCACGAAGCCACAAATCCTTGAACGTGTCTATGCCGGGCCAAGTGTGACCGCCTGGTTCGCTCACGGTTTCTTCAATGGTTCGTCGAATATTTGAGGCATCATCTAGAGCATTCCTCGATCGCAATGTCGGGCGGGAGCTTGTTCGCATTTGAAAGGCGGGGCGAGAATCAATAGGTATCGATCGTGGCGAAGAGGGTGCACTGCTAGCTCGAGACTCGTCATCGTTGTTGGCATAATCGTGTTCATCCCGCCCATGGTCGGCTTGAGCAAAATCTACATCGTCGAGGAAAGGCATGTCATGCTCCTCCTCAGCAGCCGGAGGTACAGCCTCAGCTTCGTTTCGATTCTCGGCCATCAATCGTACTACAGCATCCCGCTCGTCCTCGGCAATATTGACTGCCGGCTGTTGCTGAACAACCCATTCGCGAATCAAGAACACTAAAATGAACGATACTACCACTAGCAATGTGATCAACTGTCCTTCCAGGGTATCTATCACAATATTGTTCACCGTCGGCGATGGCGTCAAAGAGTTGAGAAGGGTAACATTTGATAGCCAAGAGGGCTGACGCACGCGGCCAGAAGGAATAGACGAAACTTGGCTAGCGTTGCCTCCAGTGGAAGTTGACAAAGTTGGAAGGAGAATTTTCAGAAGAATTCTTTTGGCAACGGCGAAGCCCAGGGGCTCTTCGTTGGAAATGTTCAAAATCGAAGATACTGCCTGGGTGGCGGAAGATGCTGCGGTATCACTGGACAGCGTCTGGTCAATAACACTTGACGTCTGCATGTCGGACTGATTTGCTGCAGGTAACGATGCTTGCACAAAGTTAGGATTAGGCCATCGCCCATCCGCTAGCCAGAACAGAGCCCGCCATATCGCACGCATAGACCACGGCAACCACCCAAGCCAAACGAAAGCGACCAAGACAAGTCGCAGCCACGTAACTAGAGAGCGGAGTCCATGTATCGCGAGCTCTCTGACGAATATTGGGGCCGGGAGCTTCGATGGCATTCCAGGGTCGTAGAGCTTGGTAAATCGGAATGGCGTTTTGCACAGTTCACAATATTTCTTCTGCGAATGCGAGAGCCATTCCATCAAGCAGCTTTGATGGACAAACTTTATACTTCCACTACACTTGCAGGGATAAAATAGCTGTTCCTCCTCTGACCCTTCACCGCGACATATTCGGCACGTATCTGGTTCGTCGACGCCTTTGCCTTTGCTGTCTGCGTTCGTCGCATACGCTGGGTCGTTCATGAGGTCAGGGAGCGGAGCTAACCCCCGCAAGGACCGAAAGTCCTGCTCGGCGCCCATCGCGGAGAAATAAGACTCTTTTCGAATTATCGGCAGAAGGAAAAATTAACTAGGCACATGTCTTTTGATCGTGGTCGTGCAGAGCACAGCTGATTATGAGTAAAGTGGTGGATTCATGCGGGTCAGCAAATGGTGAAGATGAGCTATAAATTTAGTAATCAACCCCACTGATTCAAGATTAAAGAGGAAGATAGCGGTCAGGTTGAATCTGAAAATAGAAGAGCAAGAGACAAACAGTCCTTTGTTGGGAAGCGTTGTATGACTGACTGCCAACTGTAAGCCGCGGAAAGTGACAGCCTATCTACGTAGCACAGCAGCACATTTTGAGAAGTGCGCTAACCGAGTTTGCCCTAGTGCATGTCTTAGCACCGCGCCACATCTTCAGAGGAGTCAAGGTGTGGCGCATATCGAACCTTGTCACACTACTGTGGCTAGTGCCCCCACTTTACAATACACACAGTCGACACGTAGAGTCTCAATCTGCGAATACGATATTATATAATTATATATATATATATATATATATATCATAACTATGTAGTATGTAGACTGATTTACGTAGTGAACCAATGGTCTTCGTTCTTTGACTACCATATGTATTGGTTGTATGTGGTGTAAATCAGCTTGATCGAATATTTGAGAGTTGATCCTGCTCAAGCTGCCATGGTAGTCGGCGCACTGATGACTATGACTCGCGAGAGCTACCCATGGAGTCTGGATACTGTCCGATAAAAGCCTGACTAGGTATGCAACGTGGTGAATGTCGGCGAACGGTCTGTTAATGGCTACACGTAGTTCAGAAATTGGACCAGACTTGTCCCGGGTCGTTATTATACTATGTAGTCGCTGGAGCTACCGGCGGTTTTATTTTTTATAAAAARTAGAAATCCAGTTCTTGAATTGCTCCGCCATGATCTTAGCGCTCTCTAGCTTGAGATGCCACGATCAAAGAAACGACCAGCTATGGTGGTGCTGGCTGTCTGGGGCTTTTTTAGAGTTGAGTTGACGTCGACGTGCCGGAATTAGTGGAGATTAGCCTCAGCGCTCGGCGCTAAGACCGACTGGGCAGCTGTGTAACGTGTAATTTATGTGATACGTCTCTTTGTTTGATCCTACGACTGTGTGTATTTGTGTATCAGTCACGGTGAGTGGCAGCTAATTCTGGAGATAAAACTCCATCAAGAGACAACAGCTAGAAATAGAATTCTATCCATTGATTTCTCGAAGAGAAATGTTCGAGTATCTTACAGATTCTATTGCCTGGTTGTGAGCTTTGTTTGTCATGTGAAGAATAACAGTACCATACGGCCTCAATACCAGCCCCGTAGTCCCCACTCCTCTGGTTTGGCCGCGGTTTCATAGGCCAAGCCGCCAGTCTGGGCTCAAGCTATGATCTCAGCCAACATCTGGCTTGCAGGCTGCAGCAGTCCTTCTTGTTTTGCACACCACCCGCGTAATTCTTATCGTGAACTTGCACTTTTTGTCACACCACCTTCCAAGTATTGTTGACAACCTCAAAGGAAGAATCGACCTCAGCTCACCACTTACCACTTACCATCTATAGTAAGTGTATTTTTGTTGTGATTCCTCGAAGGCAATTCTCATTCTCGACGTGTGCTCAGGCCACGCGGTAACATCCTCGGCACGCACAACAAAGCTAGTACTCGAATTACTTTTCGGCATGAGCAACTAAGCCAGAGGCTCTGAAAAAGGTTGTGGAAAGCTTGCAGGGTCGGCCTGGTCGCAGTGATTCTCTAACATCGACTATCGGACCGTTGATAAGCACTCGCCGCGATACCGACCGGGCTCAAAATGGGCGCTACACAGAATGGGACGAATTTGAATGGGAAGACTCATGGATCAACTCAGGCTGCCGCTGGGAAGAAAGAGAAGTCACGACAAGGCTACTTCCGATGGTCTCTGGCACTCGCTGTGAGGTTTGTACATAATTCCGGACGAAAATTACTTCAACAGACATACTGATTCATCTAGGCTTTTTATCTGGTATACGGTTCTGACTCCTTTTCTCCAATGTCCGTCTGATCTCTCGGGCTTGGATGAATCCTCTCCTCGTGTTTGCAAGCCCTATTTAATCACGCGCTCCTATATCGACCCCCATGTCGACCGCTATTACCAAGCTTACGCTGCGCCTTACGTCGACCAAGCACGACCTTATGCTATTACGTTCAATGAGCGCGTCTATACTCCTGCTTCAAAACTCGCCAAATTTGGGTATCAGACGTATGGTGCTCCTACTATCGCCCACGTTACCGAATATGGTCAGGAGAAATGGGAGTCCGTAGCAGTGCCTCAAATCAAGACCATCCAGAGCAGAGCGCAAACTGTGTATCAGGACAAATTAGATCCTTACGTACAACAAGTCACCGCAGTTGTGACACCATACACAGATACAATCTCCAGCCATGCAACGAATATACATGAAGGGTACATTCTTCCTTTCTATACCCGTTCGAAGCCATTCGTCATCCAGGCGTATTCCTCTAGCCAGGACCTTGTTTCCGGGACAGTTGTTCCCATGGCTCATGAAGGATGGACCACGCTAGCTGTCTTTGTCAAGAGCAATCTCATACCTACCATCACCGGATTGTACAGCCAAAATGTCGAGCCACAACTCGTCAAAATTGGGGAGAGATTAGCTTCCTACCGTGAAGGCAAGAAATTGAGAACTGTGGTGGATGAGTTTGAAGGGTAAGTTAAAGTAATTATCTGACTTCTCTGAAAGGTGCTAATTTGGACAGCATAAGCTCTACTGCGGTTTTGACCACAACAACTGCTGCACCTACACCGACCTCAATCAGTACCTCGCAGACTACAGAAGTCACACAATCCACAACTAAGACTGTGGAGGCCCAAGCATCTCTGACCCCGGAGCAGCAGAAGGAAAAGACGAGAGAACAAGTCGCTTCTGATCTACTGCTTTGGCAACAAAAGTTCGCAGTGGCTGCTGATAATGGTGTCGATGATCTTGGAGAGCGAGTCAAGCAGATTGTTACCAGTCAACTCGAAAGCGGATCTAAGAAGCATGCTGAATCTTTGATTGAGGCATTAGAAACAGTTCAAGAACACGAGATTTCGAAGATCAAGCGACATATCACCTCCCTCGTTGAAGGACTTTCGCCATATGATGCACCTGAAGAAGAGCAAAAAGCGAATGATGATCTGTTACAGTATATACGCTCGTCAGGAGGTGCCATCAGAGACCGTGCTCACGCGCTCCGCGAATGGTACAATGTATTTGAACAGGAGCTTAACCGCCGGGTGACAGCCGCTGCCCACTCTACTCTGGAAGTTTTGGACGGAATTCGCGACTTGGGACTGCAAGAGATTGGCATGCGATGGGCTTGGATGGATTTTGTTACCTACAAGGACTGGGAGAAATATCACGCGCTGAGGAAGCAATTCGACGAGTGGAGAGAAGAAGTTTTCCTGGCTGGTGTGCAGCATGAAAAGGTCGAGGAAGCCAGGGCTACGGCCAATGATCTTCTCGGGCGCGGAATGGCTGTTGCCGAAGACGCAGCCAAGGAACTTGCGCGTTTGAAAGACGTTGGCAAGTGGAAGATCCAGGCCAGGGAAGTGAGCGAGGATTTCGAAACTAGAACTGAGGCGCCTCCGCCATTGCCCAAACCCGAAGAGGAGACTGTAGAGGAAGCCGAATCTGAGGAGCCACTCCAAGAGACGGGCGAGCCTGAAGAAACCTCTACCGTTGTCGAAAGCGTGACCGAGACGACTACTGTGAAAATCGAACTAGCAGACGCGACTCCAGAAGCTTCAGGCAATACCGAAGCCAACGAGATGACTTACGCAGATGACCTTGAACACCTTGATTCCAAGCAAGCAAAGGACGAGGCAGTGATCATTGAGAGTACAGTCTGGGGAGGAGTTGCGGCTCAAGTTGTAACAAATCAAGTGCCCATATTTGATGATGACGAGGATGAAACCAGCTTTGCCGATCATATTAAGAGTCTAGCCAGCGAGGCCGGTGAACGATACGCAGAAGCTACTAGAGCTGTTGGGGATGCCCTTTTTACCCAGCCTAGCGCTCCCAGTTACGGAGAGCAAGCGGCCTCTATGGCTARCGAACAGTATTCTCGCGCTTTAGAAGCTGCTTCAAGCGTCCTGTACGGAACAACACCATCGCCCGGCGAGCAGATCGCTACTGCTGCGTCGGAAAAGTATGAGCAGGCTGTTTCAGCGTAAGTTGTCCATTACTATTTGATCACTCATCTTTGAGCTAACATGAAATGCAGTGCCTCTTCCGTCTTTTACAACTTCGCCGGCACTCATACCAAATCATCCGCACTCGAGTCTGTATCATCTGTTGCCGTATCGCGCTTGCAAGAGGGCCTCAGTGCGGCCTCGGCTCAGTTTGCTAGTTTAAAGGCGACAATTGCGCCAACCCCTACCGCTACACGCGACCCTATTTTTCTTGACGCCCAGCGCCGCTACTATGAGGCTATTGGCCTGGCCCATGATCGTTATTCGGCATTCGTTTCTTCTGCATCCAATGTGATTTTCGAAGAGCCGACCCCCACTCCAACTCCACCACCTTTGAACCCTGAAGCTCTTCTGGAAAGTGCTATCAGTGAGTACCAGTACATTTCCGACCTTGCCTCTTCCAGCCTGGCTGCTGTGATTTCGTCCGCCAGCTCAGCAGCAAACAATGGCGGAGGATCTGCTCGTGGCTTGATTGATGATGCACTGTCCAGATACAGCGACGCCATGTCGGCAGCATCGGAATCGTTGTCTGTAGCTTCCGAGTCTGCCAGCTCAGCAATTTATGGAACACCCACTGGAACCTTTGAGTCGATTACCAGCCAAGCCTCTGAACGCTGGGAGAGTATCATTTCACAAGCTAGCGAGCAGATCTACGGCACACCGGCACCTTATATTCAGCAGCTGTATGACGCTCAAGTATCGCGATACGAAGCTCTCGAAAGCTTCGTTTCTGAGCTTGTTGTAGGCAAAGAGCCTTCATTCACTGAAAGTGTCATGAGCAGATTCCGATCAGCATATGAGACACCCTATCCCGCTGAAGCACTTGCCTCAGCATCTAGCTACGCGAATGACGCTTACTCTTCCGCCTCCTCATTTGTCGCTKCCCACGCCACACCACCACCTGCATTAGACGACATCGTCAACGCAGCAACGGACCAATTGAACTCTGCCGTAGACGCCGCGAGCGGCTACATCTACGGTACTAGCAAGGGGCCTTACGAACAAGCAACATCAGCAGCCGCTGATGCATACTCTTCCGCATCTTCGCAAGTCAGCGAAGCCATCTATGGAACCCATCCGGGGTACATTGAAGTCGCTCGGTCTCAAGTGGACGCCGCCTTTTCCTCGGCTCAGACTGCGATCAGCACAGCCATCTACGGCACTCCGACTGGACGTGCTGAAGGTGCGATGAGTGCCGCCAGCGATGCATATGACTCCGTCACCTCTGCAGTCAAGGACAACGTCGCCGCTGCCGAGTCTATGATGAGTGATGCTTATTTGAACATTCACTCGCAAGCCTCCGCTGTCCTTCAACCAGAGCAGCAGGGAGCCTTTGAAAGTGCCACTAGCAAGTTGGCACTAGCTGTTGAAAGTGCACAAGCTCGGCTTGCCTACCTCGCTTCGAACGTAGGCGATGGTGCGGCCAAGGTTCAGTCTGAAGTCGTCAAATCGGCTGAAAGCGTTATCAGCAGCGCAACTAACAAGATCAAGGACGAGCTGTAACTTTTCAATCACTCAACTTGAAGTACAAAAATGGCTATTGATCTTGGCCATACGCTTTGAAGTGAAAACGCGATATGGTGGATTAGTGATGTTGTCATGTCATTTACTTTGTTCCCTTGGCTATAAACCACGATATCCTCTTACGCGGTTATTTGATTTGTCTTTTGAATACGCATTTGTTCTACTGATTGTATGTTTGAATACGTTCATCTTGATGTCTGTGATTGTTTTGATTTACTTTTTCTCTAATGAAAGGACCCTTGTTTTATTATGACTGCAATGCTTTTGTTATTTGTTCCATGTCTATTGCTGCTGGTTCAGGTCAGTATAATGTACAGAATGATTGGAAGATTATGCACATGACGATGATTAAGCTAATATAGCGTGTTTTATATGCTGTTGAAGCCTTCCCAGACATTAAAGACAATCATCGTCCGACTCGAGATATACATGTAAGCTTCATGATAGACAGACCCTACCAAATAATGCAACCTCTAATGCCCAAATATCAAAATATTGATGCAAACAAATTACCGGTATTGCACACGACCACCACGCTTCTCCATTTTCTGCTGCCTCTTACTCGCACCGACACCACTACCACTCACATCCTCACTCCCGGCACCMCCCAAGCCAGCCAGTCCCTTCTTCATCCCAAAGAACGTCGTCCAGGCCAAATAACCCGAATACACCGGCACAGCAAGGTACAACCACCAAGCCCTATCCCCAAAAACGCACGCAGCACCAATACATCCCCATGTCCAATAGTTCACATCCCACATGAACTCCGTCAAACCTTTTGCCCCTAGGTCCTCGCCCGCGGATTTTAGTGATCCATCCTGGGGGCTGTAGCGGGGACGGCCGAGTCGTTCCAGGTAGAACTCGATCGCGAGCGCGGGGAGACTTAGAAGGAAATAGCGGGTGAGAGCGCTGGGTCGGTTGAAGAGGAAGTTTAGCGTTAGGAATAAGGCGTGTAGGGCGAGGGTGATGAGGTGTGTGCGGTTTAGGGTTGCTGCGTTACGGGCGGCGAGAGATTTTGCTGCTTTCTGTTTTGAACAAGTTGGTCAATGAAAGCGTCCGATTGGAGCAATTGCAGGTGAATTTTCTACCTGTGCCATTCTCGAAGGTATTTGAAGGTATTTAGTGGGGTGATGGAAAGTATCAAGAACGTGCCACGACCAATTCCGTCGATGTATAATGGACACGACTGCAGGCCAGGGTATTTTCGATCAGTCCAATGTGTATTGGATGCAGGTAATTGCTGTTGCAGATTGCGGCGTGTAGAACGCAGAATTATGCAGAGTGCTGCTGGAGCATCACCGGAAACAGCTGCGAACTTGGTGGTTGCCCTATACAACAGCCAAGGCCACAAGGCAACAAGGCACCCACCGCCATAGCCAACCAGGTAACTAACCCGGAAGGAGCTGCTCTCCATCTCTCTCACATCTCACATCCACTCTTCAAGATCATATTCAGTACTACTAAAACCCCCCACCACATCTATCCTTCTCCTCAATAATACTTATATTTCACTAATATTATTGGACCGTTCTTTTTTATTCTGAAAAACCTCTGATAATGCGATTCTTGCCTCTTTGAGCTTTCTTTTCTGGCGGGCTTGTGTTGCGGCGCGGTCTCCACTTTCAGTTTGCATGGTAAACTCCGCCTATTGTTTTGGTGTACACACAACAGTTCTCTGATGTTGACGGGCAGCCTGTCCTAAGAAGCTCAGCTATTATTGATCAACTGTCTATCATCCATGCTCTTGGCCTTATAATAGCGACGGTCGACACTGACGCCAAAACTCACACCGCGCCATACCTCACCACTAAGAATCTGCGCATCGTGACGCCGTTCAATGCGTCTAAGACCTAGACACCTTTCGCTTCGCCTTTCCGATTTCGTTGACATCCCTCGTTCATTTTGGCGCTTACTATAGTATCTACCACCGGGTGTACCGTAACAACCGCCATCATGGCGCCTTCGTCATCCTACATATCCTCCCAGCTCAGGCAACTGATCTACTACCACCTCGATAACAACCTCGTCAAAAATGCGCTCTTCCTCGCCGGCCGTCTACACGCCTACGAACCCAGATCCTCTGAGGCAGCCTATCTCCTCGCGCTATGCCACTTATTGAGTGGCCAATCCAAGGCCGCCTGGGAGTACAGCAAGGTTGCAGGTTCTCGCGGAACACACCTTGGGTGTTCCTATGTACACGCGCAGGCATGTCTTGACTTGGGGAAATATAGAGAGGGTATCAGCGCGTTGGATCGGAGTCGATATCTCTGGGCTACGAAGAGTAATTGGAGTGAGTGCACAAGGGTCGGATGATCGAATTTGATACTGACATGACGTAGATAAACATAGCGAGACTCGCCGTTCACATACTCCGGATGCAGCAGCTGTGTTGTGCTTACAGGGCAAGTTGTGGCAAGCCCAGAAAGATCTCAAGCAGGCTGTAGAATGCTACGCCGAGGCCTTGAAGCTTAACCCTTTTATGTGGGATGCCTTTCTTGGTCTCTGTGAAACTGGTGAGTTTCCCCTTTCCAAACGCAAAACATTGCTGACATGATCAGGTGTCAATATCCAAGTGCCAAATATATACCGTTTAAGCCCAGAATTAGTGGCCATGTTACAAGCTGCGCCTCAGCCAGATCTAAGCGCACTTTCGGACATAACAATGTCAGCCAATGGACCTCTGCAGACGCAGTCGAACTCAAATTCCAACAGCGATCCTTTCGCCAACACACCAAAGGGCGACCCTGTCTCGTCCACAGGAAGCTCGGCATTGTGGGAAAAATTAAATGGAAGCAGTGTCAATGTTGCTTCGGCAGGCACAACGATTATCCATGAGATACCCGAATACGAGAAGGAGTCTGAAGATACTCGCAACGCCCATGGCGACACCTGGGACCCTCCACTTGCTCCAAATCGACGAAATAGGACCATACAACAGGTCGAATATGGCGATCCGCCTCCGAAGATGCGAGCTACCGCTTTGAAATCTAGGATTCGGTCGAGAGCCGAGTCGGAAGATCAAAATGTTATTCCAATGGATGAAGAATTGACTTCTGTTGCGCCAGCAGGCGATAGAAAACGAAACGTTTCTGGTCAAGTTGCCCATCCACCCCAGGCTGCTGAGCCGGGTGCACCACAGCGGCGGAGTACGCGGCTGCTGAATCATATACGACCAACCTCCAGCCGATTAGCCACCGCCACTTTGGGAAGGGAGGGACGAGAAGTGAGGAAAGTCAGGGCTACGGGGACGAGAGGGCGGGCGCCTCCTGCGACGAACGTTGGACGCGTCGTGAGTGGAAATAGAAAGGTTCTTGGTAGCGGCTCGGATCCCGACGGCAAGGAGTCGCGAACATCTGTCACGTCGTCAAACAGCGGTAGCTCGCATCATTCCAAGAGCGCAATCGCGGACCGCTCAAAAGAAATGGAAGCTTTGTCGTGGTTAATGGATCTGTTCTCTAAACTAGCCTCAGCCCACTACAATTTGACCCGTTACAAGTGCCAGGAGGCTGTTCAAGCCTTCAACTTGTTATCTCAGGCTCAGCGCGAAACGCCGTGGGTTCTATCACAGCTAGGCCGGGCTTACTATGAGCAGGCACTCTATGCCGATGCGGAGAAATACTTCGTTCGAGTGAAAGCCCTGGCACCGGCGCGGTTGGAAGATATGGAAATATACTCGACTGTTCTATGGCATCTCAAGAATGATGTCGAGTTGGCATATCTGGCCCATGAGCTCGTGGAGGTAGACCGTCTATCTCCTGAAGCTTGGTGTGCGGTTGGCAATTCGTTCTCTCACCAGCGGGATCATGATCAAGCATTAAAGTGTTTCAAACGCGCCACACAACTTGACCCACGTTTCKCTTACGCATATGCTCTTCAAGGCCATGAGCACGTTGCAAATGAAGAATTTGACAAGGCACTTGACGCGTTCCGAAAGGGCATTAGTGTCGACAGTAGACATTACAACTCTTGGTATGGTCTTGGCCAGGTTTACGAAAAAATGGGTAAGCTCGAATTTGCAGAGCAGCATTACCGCAACGCAGTCCAAATAAATCCGAACAATGCAGTGCTCATCTGTTGTATGGGTCTTGTGGTTGAAAAGTTGAACAACCCACAGTCTGCTTTGTTCCATTACAGTCGTGCGACAAGCATAGCTCCGAAGTCGGTATTGGCGCGGTTCCGCAAGGCTCGCGTTCTTTTGAAACTGAACGAATACAAACTGTCGTTGGCGGAGCTCAAAGTGTTGAAAGATATGGCACCGGATGAAGCAAATGTTCATTATCTCCTGGGAAAGGTCTACAAGCAGTTGCATGACAAGGCCAATGCAATCAAACATTTCACCACTGCCCTGAATCTCGATCCTAAGGTGAGTATTTCCACCTGTTTAAAGAGGCCAATACTAATATATGATTTACAGGCAGCGCAGTATATCAAAGATGCAATGGAAACATTGGACGACGATGAGGATGATGACGCGGACATGGCATAAAAAATCATATTGACCTTATTTGCACATACTTGCCTCTTGGTGCATAATCATACTGCGGCGTACGAGACGGACACATCATTCTACTTATATGCATAACACGAGAAACGAGTGGCGTTACGGACGATGAGAGGCTTCTTACGCGCATTTGCTTCAATAAGCATATTTTTTGGCGGTTTACTTTGCATTTTTACTCGGAGTTGGTGGTTTGCTTTGATCGTACTGTTTTGGAGGCGAACCTGACTTTTGTATATTACTTTTTTTTATTAGTTCCACAAGCATATGCGGTTGATGTCAATGCTCTACTATAATACAACTACATTCGGCAAAACCCAGCTTCAGTGAGAATTGTAAAATCATTTAAAGCATCAATTGTAGGAAGATATGCGTTACAAGGGTACATGTAACTAGTTAGGGTATAGCATTGCGGCCTCGGCAATCGGGTGTCAACAAGCTGTGTGGGGAAAACGTGCAGGTGCATCTGGATCATCGTCACAAGATCGACTTTTTGCTTCAACTGTACCAACCACCCGGGCCCCTCGCCAATTTATTCACTACAGTTCGAACGATAAGATTCGTAAGGCCATGGCCATCGTCACCCGGTATCCTTGCTAAAGTCTCATTACCTCAATCATTCGACCGAGAACCGAATCGCAGCGTCTCGGCGGTCAGATTCTCTTACTCACTCCATCTTGAACGGACATCGTCCACAGCATCAATCACCTCGATTTCCGGCATTGAACGGACACCATGTCAATCCTCTCCTACATAACAACCGGTCTAACCGGCTACTTCGCCGTAACCGTCTCCTTCTTCGCACTCTCTGCTTTCAAAGTGCCTAAAGCCGGCTTCATCGCGCGGTGTCTCTCCTCGTACGCCTCTCTTATCATATGCGCTACCTACGGCGTCATCGCATCCATAGTATTACGGCTAGTCGGTTACGGACGAGTATCGCAATGGGCTACAGCACGGAGTTTCAAATGGGTCATGTGGATTGCCACGGGTGTGCATTTCGATATCGTCGAGGGCGAGAAGTATCTTTCCACGCGGCCGGCGGTCTTTGTGGGCAATCATCAGACGGAGCTTGATGTGTTGATGTTGGGTGCTATGTTCCCGCCGTATTGTTCCGTTACAGCGAAGAAGTCACTTAAAAGTTGGCCGTTTTTGGGCTGGTTTATGTCCCTGTCCGGCACGGTGTTTATTGATCGCGCAAATCGTGAAACGGCTGTGAAGGCGTTTGATGGTGCGGCGAGAGAAATACAGGAGTTTAGACAGAGTGTTTTCATTTTCCCCGAGGGCACGAGGAGTTATTCGGCGACTCCGGAGTTGTTGCCGTTCAAGAAGGGGGCGTTTCATTTGGCTGTCAAGGCGGGTGTGCCTATTGTGCCGGTTGTGGTGGAGAATTATCCCCATGTGCTGAATGTGCGGAAGTTGCATTTTGAGGCGGGGGCAATAAAAATCAAGGGTATGTTCCTCTCTGCGAGGTGTAAAGATGGTGCTAATTTGGTAGTTTTACCTCCCATTGAAACGAAGAACCTTACACCCGCCGACGTCGACAAACTCACAAATGATACGCGTGAACTCATGCTCAAAGCATACACTGCATTGTCGAACAAGTCCTCGCAGCAGCTCGACGGCGCAGTTCGCGCATCCTCTACTGCAGTGGAGATCTAACTGCTCCATCCTGCACCCATGAGCACCGAGTACGACTAAACCTAGACTACGTACGTCGACCGATAGACACGATTGTATAGACGGAGAGAGACTCGTTCCGTACGGCGAGATATGAGTGATGATGATGACTCGGGATTTTATTTCGTTATACTTCTTTTTGTCCTATCTTGCTTATTACTATGATCATCATTAATCCTCCTTTACCCACCTTGGAACTGGATGTGTACGGGTGGCCAGTCCTGTTATGAGTAGTATATACGTACCCTCGAATACCCAGAATGAAAAGTTTTGTGTTGCCCTGGCACGAAGAGTAGGTCAACTGACGTCAAGTAACATGTCGATATTTTGTTTCTTATCAGCAGACATGCCTTAGTCGGAGATGCCGTCCTCCAGGGTCGGGTTACGTGTGATACGTGACTCAACATAGAGTCGTATGTATCCATGGATGAAACGCCTATACACATGGTTGAACTCCGATATTCTTGGCAGCTGTATGAGAAATCGACTTGATTTGTTTTTGGATACTCCGAAAGTTTCTTGTCTGCCTGTGGCGCTGTTAAAGCTGTCGTGGAGAGATCGTCGGTACATTCGAGATCAGGGGAACATGACCAGATCAGATGCCGTGCTTTTCCCCGCCTTATTGCAGTTTGTGTATCCACGAGGTGATATTTGAAACGAATATCTTTTCTGGCGGCGAGTATATCTGATTAGTCTCTGCCATGACACGGATAGATCTTCACAATGAAATAAAACTGGAGGATATCACCTGCCTCCCCGCACTGACGACTTTCCATCCACACGCGAGAAGGAACATGGCTCTATTCCTACTCTATTTCTGCTGTGTGCTTTTCTATGGTTGATAGGATTATAAATCCGTCCTAGTGTCCTCGGCAGTGAGCCTTTAGCCTGCTTTTAATCAGGGTACTGGCGACTACGTAATATGGAGATTCGACGTCAAAATGGATGCAACATTGGGAGTTGCTGCTTGTCATCGGATTGTGTGTTTGGCGGTCCCATGATATTAGGAGCAATGCAGATTTATGTGAAGGTATGGATATATAAAGATCGGTCGAAGCAGACTGCTGATGGCTCCTTCCTTATCTAGAAGATCATCGACTAACTACTCAACCTTGGAAGCATTCTGACTCATTCATCTCAATCGTTTGACCAAGGTATTCTTATGATTCTCATTTAAAGGCCGAGGATCTTCTTCTTGTCCTTTCAGAACAAACGCAATATATCTACATTTCCGACGAGAGTGTATTTCCCGACACAATGCCTCAAAAAGATACAGCGACAACGCTAAACATTGCCCTGCAAAACCAGACCACTTCCAGCAACGTGAATGCATACATCACAGGTCAGGCTATTGACAACAAAAGTGCCCTATTCCTCTTGCAGTCTGACGGCAAGACGGCCTACTATCCTACCTCACCATCGAGCACAATTTCACCGCTCGGAGCAAACTGCGCCATTCCTCTTGGTGCACCGGGAAACACAGTAACAGTTACCATCCCGCACTTGGCTGGAGCTCGACTGTGGTTTGTGCGAGATGATACTCTGACCTTTTACTTGAATCCCGGTCCAGCACTAGTTGAGCCTTCGTCGTCCAATACAGCCGATGTCAATTACAACAAGTACTGGGACTTTTGCGAGTTTACGTACAACAGCTCGCAACTCTATGTCAACATCTCCTACGTGGATTTTGTGTCTCTTCCAATCTCGTTAACGCTCACCAATACCTCCAACCAAACGCAACACGTCTCGGGCATGGCCTCAAACGGCCTTGATACTATCTGCTCCGGTCTGAATGCTCAGCAATCCAAGGACAGCGCCGGCTGGAATCAGCTCATTGTTCAGAAGAACGGCGCAAACCTGCGTGCTAACAGTCCTAACACCGGTATCTCGCTCAACAACTCCCTGTTCTCGGGTTACTACCAGTCATATGTGGATCAAGTATGGTCTCAGTACACAAACTCGACGTTGACGATCAATACGCAGATCGCTGCTGGGAATGTGACGGGACAAGTTTCGAATGGCACGTTCAACTTTGGCAATGGAGCGGCGACATACACAAAGCCCGCGGCGACAGATATCTTCAGTTGCAGCAGCGGGCCATTTGCGGCGACTGGCAACCAAGAAAAGGATGATATCACGGCTCGATTGACAGCTGCGTTTAACAGATCGACACTTTTGATAGAAAGTAACACGCCGGAGAGTGATGATCCAACAAAGTATTATCAAAATGCTATTACCAATCACTACGCTCGGATTGTGCACGCTGCCAATCTCGATGGTCGAGGATATAGTTTCCCATACGATGACGTTGCGCCGACCAACGGCGCTGATCAGTCTGGGAGTATTCATGATCCGAATCCGCAGCTGCTGACTGTTGCTGTTGGAGGAGGAAATGCGTCGACGTCGGCTGGAACCAACAATCCGAGCACGGCTGCACCTCAGACTGGCAAAATTAATCAACAGTCTGGTAATGGCAACAAGAATGGCAAGAGTGGTGGAAACGGCAAGCAAAACGTGTTTCTTGGGCTGATTCAACGTCTTCCTTGTTTTTGATATATGCATTAGGATGGTTGTTCTTGTCTTTGCATTTGTGCTTGCGAATCTTATGATTTTTCCTTTGATCGTCAGATTCTAGCATCGATGCATTCTTAGATGCAGGTTGGTGGAGGTTACGATATGATACCGCACTTATTCATGAACAGTCTCCTTTCACTATCTAATTCGTAACTAAATAAAACCGCATTGAAACTTGCCTATGCTATAACCAAGAACGATCTATGCAAGTAACCATACATCCCATCTATTTTATACGATTCTAAACCAAACACTGACACGTCCCCATCGCACACGGCCTCACATCCCTCTCAATATCAACACGGACCAAATCCTTCCACGGATCAATCTCCAATCCAGTCACAGCCTCGCCGAGATTTGCCCCCCTGGCCGCCGTCGCTACAAGATAATCAGCCTCAAACGCCACCAACTCAACCCTAACATCCTCCACTCTCTTTCCATACAACCACGTCTGAACACCAGTATACGGATCGCTCCACTTGTCAGTCTCAACATCTGCCACTGGCGACGGCGCATGAACATTCGTAAATTCCAACTCTCGCAGCCAGGGTGCTAGGAGAGCTTCACCGGTCATCTTGATATATGCCTCTTTTAGCGCCCAGTAAGCATAGAACAGCCGCATAGCGGATTTTATGACCTCCGCCAATGGTTGAGATGATGATGGGACAGCAGCTTGTTTCATGGTGTCTAGCTCCTTTTGAGAAAAGACCTCTTTGAAGATGTCGATGAAGTCTATGACGTCTTTGAGGGTTTTGGGAGCATTGTCGCGCCGACGACCGGGTTCGTTGACGCAGGTAACGTCAATTCCGACCTGTGGTACTGAGGGAAGGGGCGCTGATGATGGTTCTGGCGCGGAAAAGACTGCTGTTTGAGTCGCGGCTGCCTCCTTCACTTCTTTTGAAGGGACTACACACCCGGCCAACGCAACAAAGGAAGCTTGATGGGTAACATTAAACTCCACCGCCGGGATTTCTGTGGCGGGCCGACTCTCGTTCCCCGACGGGATAAAGCATGGCCTCTGATGCGGTTTTGGTGTTCTGCTGATAGTGACCTCACTCCAAGGGATGCGGCATGTTTGATGTATATACAAGTATTTGAGCAGAGACGAGGCTAGCGACATGTGTCGATCTGGCAGGCGGAGATATTTCTTGATGGATGTCTGGTCGGATTCTTGTAATGTGTTGAGAAGGGGGAGGTTTTGGGTAGTCTCGGTTAGCTGACGGGTATCGATGTACCACCTCGTGAGGTGCGTGGAGGCCATTTTGATGCTTAATATTGATATGTAAATAGCTGATAATTGAGAAGTTCGTAAGCCGGATATGATCAACGGTCTGGCTGGGTGGCTAGTGTGAGGATGAGATATGTCGGTTTCTGGTTTTACATAGACCAGCTTTCTGAATCATACAGTAGATAGCCTGGGTTACTTCGAGTCACACCGAGGGAAATGCAATGAAGCCATCCAGCTGAGCTGATACATGCAGAACTATAGACAAACAGTCGTCTGATTGGCCGAACGGAGACCGCGGCGAGGGGCAACTCCGAGTAGCTGCCTGAGAGATCAGGTGTTAACGCGGGACACCGATAAGATAAGATAAGATAGGCCAGACGGTATCGAAAGAATGACTCAATTCTTTGAATCGCCTTCACATACACAACGATGATGAGCAAGATCACAGTGGGCGTCCTAGCCCTCCAGGGTGCCTTCTACGAGCATCTGCAACTCCTCCGAAAAGCCGCCGACCTTCTAGCCTCTGCCTCTTCTCAGGAAGTATCCCAATGGGACTTTATCGAAGTACGGACAAAAGCGCAATTGGATGCGTGTGACGCACTCATCTTACCCGGTGGTGAGAGCACAACCATTTCTCTTGTGGCTGCTAGATCAAATCTATTGGAGCCATTGAGGGATTTCGTCAAGTATGCACTACCCTCCCTCCCGCCTGAGCGAGCTCAATGGCTCATAGAAACTGTAGATTACATCGCAAACCGACATGGGGTACATGCGCCGGCCTCATTCTCCTTGCCGAATCAGCCAACCGCACAAAGAAAGGAGGCCAAGAACTCATCGGCGGCATTGATGTGCGCGTAAATAGGAACCATTTCGGTCGCCAGACGGAGAGTTTCCAGGCGCCTATTGATCTACCATTCTTACAAGACGGAGCTAAATCCCTACCATTTAACGGCGTGTTCATCAGAGCACCCGTCGTCGAAAAGATCCTTCCCCATCAAAAGGGCATACAAACCGAAGAAGACCAGCGGGCAGAAACAGTCGTCGCTCCATCACGAGAAGTAGTCGACGCCGCCGCTCAAAAGGCACTCGAAGATGAAGTGGAAGTACTCGCAAAACTACCCGGAAGAGCAGCACGCCTAGTAGCAAATAGCGGCGTGAATATTGATGCCGAAAAGGAGGCTGGAGATATAATTGCTGTTAAGCAGGGGAATGTGTTTGGTACGAGTTTTCATCCGGAGTTGACGGATGATCCGAGGATTCATCTTTGGTGGTTGAGGCAGGTGCAAGATGCCTTTTCGAAAAGGAATGGTATAGCGGCTTGATGGTTGTATGATAAAGATCGGTATAGAAGTTAACTTAGATATGGAAACCGGGCATACCTGTACTACCTCGACATCAGTAATGGAACCGGAAATGGGACGTCAAGCGAGAGATGAGCCCTAAAGGATCTACCTAGGTACACATGCGAGACTGATGCAAGGATTAAGCAGATGTCTTTTCGACAAGATTTGACGTGGAAGCATGCAGGTTCAAGATAGTACTATTCACTAGACCTTTAACGATTCTATCTGCATACTTACATATAGAGTAACAAAACTCGACATCTAGACATTGCACAATATAAAGTACCATCGACAAAAATTTGAAACCTTGATAATGCAGAGAAAACAACGATACTGAAAACGTTGAAGACGAAAACCTGTATAACAAATCATATGGATTAATATGCAAACGCCTTCCTACCAACCTGACAAAAAAACCTTGCCAACACCTCATCCAATCCACTCCAAGAATGACGAAAAAAATGTACATTATTGACCCTCATTGAGTCAATCGAAGGGATCGGGTACGGTGCCGGCTAGCGCGCGTCAAGCGACGGCCTTCATAATCACTAAACTCAGTCTCGCTTCGAGTATCCAATGGGACGACTTCGGGAGTTGGCGTAGGTGTCGCAATGCCAGACCGATGTTTGCGGTCCACTTTGGCTTCTTCATCGGCCGACAAGAACCTGTGGACGGTACGATGGTCCATGACTCGAATATCATCGTCATTAGGGCCCTCTGGATCGGTCTTGGGCCAGCGATAGCCGTAGAGTTTTGAATGTCGTTCGCAGCGAGGACATTCCTTGCGTGTTTGATAGGCATTTTCTTGAACGAACCACGAAGGGCAGGTTCGGCAATCTACCCATCGGTCATAACGTTGTGCAAGGAGCATGTTTGTTTTGGTGTAATCGCCTGGAACTCTGGTCACGATGATATCCTCTTGTTCCACAGATGGTAATGCTCTTTTACGAGGTGTGCTGGTTCTGCTCCTCGATTTTCGTTCATTTACCTCGTTTATTTGAGAGGATGATGCGACCACAGATTCTGCAATGTTGGAAATATCTTTATCTGCAGGTTCTTGAGTCGTAGTTGGTTCAGGTATAACCGGCTGTGTGGTCGTTTCAATTGATTCTATCTTGATATTGGGTGTGATGCCAGAAATCGATGTGGCCGGCGTTGATATGGAATGATTACTCTCATCAGAAGAGTAGGAAGGCGAATCGTTCTCGGTGGCGCTGGCTGTGTTTTGCTCAGCATCTGTAGGAAATATTTGTTCAGGAGGGCTTGGAAGTGCCGAGATTTCTTGAGGGGGCTTCTGAATAGTGGTTGGTAGAGGCGATTTTTCGATTGATTCAGCGATTTCAGACAGGACAAGCTCTTCTCGAAGCTTTGATTGCCGATGTTCGAATTTGAACCTCTTAGCCGGAGTAGAAGGCAATGACGGTTCTTGCTCAGTCTCGCTTTCAAACTTCCTCTTTTCTTTATGCGTCGATTCGCTTATGGTGACAATTTTAGTCGCCAAATGAGTGTCACTTCCTGTCGAAGCTGTTTCGGACTCAATAACATGCTTCTTCGGCTGGGGAGACCGGTTCGACTCAATGTCCCGTACAGGGGTGGAGACTTGACTTGCTGGCACAGAAACTGAAGGCGACCACCCATTACGGACCAAACGTTCACATGTCTCACAGAGACATTCACAATTATCAATACCAAAGTAGTCTTCGCCATAAGATACCGTGATTTCTTCGCCTAACTCAATATCGCGAGCGGCAATGACTTGCATGCCATCGTTTCCTCTCGTCGATAACCTTCCATTGGCATTGCAGTCATGATTGGCGAAACGAGCCGGTCCCAGGAATAACGATGGGTTCTTCCTTCTGCTTGACATAACGATGCTAAAGTCCTTCCGATTAAATCCCAAATCGAGTTCTTCTTGTCGAGTCATTGAAACAAGTGTACCACAAAGATACTTGATCTCTTCACCTTTCTTGATATTTCTGCGGGCTACCACCGAAGCCTCTTGTTCGACTATGGTATACCTATTTGTAGTCGATATCTCAAACGGACAGTCGGGTAGATAAATCTGGACATATTTCCGAAAATGCCGTTTGAACCATTCTCGCTCTCGATCATTCGGTAGACTATCCATGTACTTCTTCAAGCCTTTCATGGCGAGGAGTTCCTGCTCCGCAGCACGTGCATTCTTCTCAACAATGACCTTGTGAAGGAGAATCTTGGTCACGACATCTTCCAAAATGCCTCTGCCAGGAGCAAATTTAGTACGATTCTTTCGGATCGTAGTCCAAAAGTAAGCCTACCATTTGTCAGCTAAGGTCAAACCGTGAGGCGAAAGTTCAACTTACGCGATCAATGAGAGCGTCAGTTGCTACATCATCGTAGTTTGCTAGTCTGGACAGAGTGAGTCGGTCTCTTGAGTCGGCCACTGGGCTCGACCTGGCTTTGGATGGCATGGCTGCGTGATATGTCGCGATTCAGCTGAAATGGCCCAAGAATGAAGTCCAAAAGAGTGGTGGACCGAGTAAATGAATGGCACTTTTACGCCAAGATTACGCCTAATAAGTGTGAGGCAGTATGCGAATTATCTTCCCCAAAGACTGCAAAATGAGCGACGTCCAAAAGAATGGCAGGTTCCAAATGAGGGGTTAGTAAGAAAACTCCAAGGAAATGTCTAGCAATAAGCAAGAAATAAGATCAAGCATGCTGTAGACGTTCGGGGTCATGAGGGGACAGAGCGACGGCGCTACAAACAAGCCGTTGCGCTGAGTGCTTTGCCGGCGCGGATGATGTGGCTGGGAGGTCTCGACTGGCCTGTTGGTCGCGATTGGCGATGTCGCAGTCGCAAATGAGACCTTCTTAAGATGTCGAAGGAATATTGTACATTTATAGTGTTCACCAAAAGGTCGAATCTGTCAAATCAAGAAGAATTGGCAGTCCTCGCATACTGCCGTTGCTTGTCGCAAATGACCTGTCAAGTCGGGGCTGGGATACCTGATACCAGGGATGTAAGAGGTCTTGTAGGCTGGATTTTTAACTGAGAATTGAGCTGCGAATGATACAAGCAGAACAAAATACTCCAAACATATATAACGACAGCTCAACAGGCCAATTGTTGTTTGAAAGGGATGTTCTGAGTAGCAGGCATGAATGAATGAACAGATGCCCTGTTCCGGGATCGGCTCCCGGCAAAACTATACTTCCGTAATACAGCGCCAAACCCCGATTGGATCATACAATCTGAAAACCTTCAAGATCGAAACCTCTTTGGACATTGCGACGACTTGTGAAGGCCGCCACATTATGCACACACGATGATTCAACTCAAGGTAAACATGGCATTTATTTCCTGAGCTTTGAAACCACGGTACAATTCTAACGCTTTCCGACAGACGATGCTTAATTGCATCGACAACTCAGGAGCCGCCGTTGTCGAATGCGTCAATGTTCTCAAGAAGAAAAGCCCGGCTACCATTGGTATATACACTCACAATCGACTACCTCCATAGTGTTCTCAGCTTCTGATTTACGAGAATAGGTGACCGCATCGTCGTCGTCGTCCAGAAACAGCGCAACTTTGGCCCCGAAAACTCCACAAACAGCGGTATCGCTAACAAAGTCCGTCGAGGCGATATCCGACATGCCGTTGTCGTTCGAGCGCGCAAGGAGATCCAGCGACCGGATGGAAGTCTCATCAAGTTTGACGATAATGCGTGTGTCTTGGTTAATAAATCTGGTGACCCTATTGGTACTCGATTGAACGGTTAGTATCTAGTGTCACGTCTGGAATATTACGCGGCTAATACAGTTGACAGGTATCGTTGGAGCTGAGCTACGGGGGAAACAGTGGTCAAAGATTTTGTCATTGGCACCGATGCATTTGTAAAATATAATCATGTACAATAGAATGGTTTAAGCGGCAACTCATGACTCTTCCACCAGTTCTGTATCCTAACAAAAGAGGACTTCGAAACGCTCTATAACAAATTAATCAAATAGCACCAAACTCCGGGCAATAAAAATGAGTACAATGTTCAGACATGTACGGGTATCGAAGGCCGACGGCTCGAAATATAAGACAGCTCGTGATCACGTAAAGACGTTACCGCAGGTGCAGCACACGTAGTAGAGTTTCTGTACGTTAAAACTTAGTTAAGCTGATTATCAGATATCGAGTAAAAGGCAACATACCATTCCAGTCTCGGCTGAACGTTGCTGACTCTGGAAGAAGACCGCTTCGTTTTCTCCGCAGCTCGGACATAGCTTGTTCGATCGCGGCAGCTAAGAAGCAAAAAACCAATGCATGTTAGCCATCAAGTGTTTCACCAAACAAACAGCTTGAAAAGCGCAAATCAGGGCATTGAAAAAAAACCATCCACATCTTCTCTGGAATCATCATCATAATCTGAAGAAGAGTGGTAGTCCGAAAGAGCGCCACCAGACGCGAGAACACCGCATTGCGCGCAGGCTAGCTCTTCACCACAATGGAGGCAGAATTCTGGGTCACCAACCGTAGGATCAGATCCCACATCCTGAGTTACACCGGCTGTTTCTCCGACTTGAGTGTTGAGGTTGTTCTGGTAAACGCATGGCGAGGTCGCTGGCTCGGAGACGTGGCAGGKACGGCAGGTAAACATGAGGCGGTTTTGCACGCGGTCTTCTTTGGGGTATAGCAGGTTGGAACTATGTTCATTCATTAGTAAGTAGTCTTCTAACTTGGATGGAGGGCGGAGACTCACCATTCGCGGCAGAATTTGAAATGGATTTGATCGCTGCTGGGCTTGTGGTCGCCTCCAGACGAAGATACGGGACTCGCAGACATGTTGATCGATGTAGAGATAGTCGTTATGGGCGATATGTTTATGGGTGATTTTTTGATGTAAGTTCTTGTGATAAAAAGAGGGAAGTCGAATCTGGAGGAGATGGGAGAGCTGTGTGTCACAACAAGAGAGTCAAGATTAGGCAGTCTGGGATGAAATTTGGTGGCGGACAGAGAAATATCAAGAAGTTGCTGGGCGATCACGCTAGGCCATTCTCAGTGTTAGCGTCTCTCCACCTCTTTACGGCCATTCCCCGCGTCTGCCCATACAAAACAAACACTCTAAGTTAGATCTGTCTCCGTGCTTACAAAAGACAATTGATTACTTATTCTCTTATTTTATTTAGTACTGTCTAAGAAGTCATACTCACGAAAAAGGCCTACTTTCTTACTAAACACGACTGTTTCTCGTTGTTGAGTCGTAATCATGGTATGTTTCTTTCTCTACACATGCTATTTATCACGAAACATCATAGCAACAGCGTCTTGATCGACTTTATCTAACAAGCGTGCACTACAGTCCGAAAACTCGGGTCTCCCAGAAGGCTGGGAAGTGCGCCACTCCAATTCCAAAAATCTCCCCTATTACTTCAACGCTTCCACCAAAGAGTCTCGCTGGGAACCACCATCCGGAACCGACTCCAACAAACTAAAGACCTATATGGCAGCCCATCACAGCGGTCCCTCCGGCATCGCAGGCCTACCTGCAGAGGGCAAGATTCGTTGCGCTCATTTACTCGTCAAACACCGTGACAGCCGCCGACCCAGCAGCTGGCGCGATAGTTTCATTACGCGGACCAAGGAGGAAGCCATCGAGATTCTCCGTGGCCACGAACAGCGCATCAAGTCTGGTGAAGTGCGTCTAGCTGATATTGCGATCTCCGAATCAGACTGCAGCTCTGCTCGCAAGAAAGGTGACTTGTAAGTCCCTTACCCTTCGTCCCTAAAATACCGTCGGTGATCAACCAAGCTCTGTACAACTAATCATTCCCCCTTTCCGCTTGCTGCCCATTTTCTTTCTCCCTCGATTTCTCACTTTATTTTCTTATTTTCTAGGGGCTTCTTCGGCCGCGGCGAAATGCAAAAAGAATTCGAAGACGCTGCCTTCGCACTCCAACCGGGGGAGGTCAGCTCCATTGTTGAGACGCAGTCCGGAGTTCATCTGATTGAGCGGTATGTTGACCGTCCTGAGGACTGGTATCATCTGTACCCAGCCCAGCAGCTGCAGCAGAACTGACCTGGCGTCCAAAATTCTTCGAATTTTGGTTATGAAGTCTACAATAATATTCCCTCCACGCATTTTTTCTACGTTGGCATAGGGAGGCGAGTCTCCTTCCGGAGCAGGGATAGTGGTGGTTGTTTCGCCCCCCGAGATTCTGCGATCCGATTGTTGGGAACCAAGGGTTTTGGAATGGAATG